CGCATATTAAGTTTACACCTGGATCAACCGTTGCAGTAGCCACTGCAAAAGAACCCCTCTCGTTTGGACATCGTTCCTTAGCTGATGCTAAAGGATAATTTTTGGTTGCTGTTTTAACTATACCAAGAAAATACAAGCCTCTATTATGTAGTTCCTTGGCAGTTTTTACAGAACCGAACCAAGAATCTCCAACCACGATTCTGCCGGAACCATGCCAAGGGCGCGTCAACCGTAGTGTTGTTGCAGTACCTGCTCCCAACTCCTTCTGCCAATCCTTTTGCTGCATAGCTTCTCTACCTTCATTTATTTCAATGTTGATCATTATACCTGATAGAACGTCCGCAACTGTTTTGCACTCACAGCCTACACCTTTTGGCTTTCGCTGTATTTTTATCACAGCAGGCATACCATCAATTTCATTATGGAGCCCTTTTCCGTACCACGCGAACATGGATTCGTCGACTGTAATTTTATATCCAGGAGTAAAAATATCATTCCATTTTGATGTAGTCATGTTGAAGAAGGAACGAACTTGATACCACTTATCTTCTTCATTATTAGTGGGCATTGCGAAGGCTATACTATTTATTACCTCTTCAAAACGATGCAAACCAATACCGAATCTTTGACCGAATGCGGGTGCCGGAAATAAACCTGCTTCTGTAGACCAATAATCACGTCTGGTGTGCAAAATATTTGTTGTCATTGCGTACATAATTCCAATTACTTTATAAAATTCTCCTTTCGAAATAACTTTACGGCCTTCCCTGAGGTTCGAGTTAGTGCATTCGAGAATTAAATCAATATCTTCAGAAGGAAAGAAGGCCATCCAATAATCAATTTCTTTCAAATTTTGTGTACTACGAAAGTTTAGCTGGGGTTTGTACCGAGCATCTTTGAATGCGTTTACTGTTATAGATTGTCCAAAAGTCCATGTTGTGTCATGAACTTTCACTTGATTATTGTTTTCTCTGGTGTTTTGCAAATTAATATTCGGATTTTCATCATCGGACTCTTCACTACACGAACTACTAGTATCGTTTGATGACGAACTCGCCACATCGCTAACATCGTCCGTAGCTATATTATATACATTGTTAGTAATAGTGTCAATATTGTCAGTATTTATATAATTACCTTCATTAGGTGATGTAAACTGCGTTTTATAAGCAGAAACTGGATCATCTATTTGAAGAGAACTGCAATTAATTTTTGTTACTCGCCCGTCTATTTCCCACTTGACCGACACGACATCGCGGTTGTTAATAAAGGTTTTTGTAATAACACCGTAACATTTAGCCGTATTCCAATCTTCCCCAAACATAGACACACTCCAGGAATTGTCAAATTTTCCATCAAACACAGTCGCTGGTACGGAAACACGCACACCGACCTCCATTATTACACGTTAACTAATTAGAAATTCATAAATTCATAAAACACGAACGAATTGTCGGATTGACTTCGGATTTTTTTTGCCAGAATCGTTATTTTACAAGCTTTCCAACGGTAGGACTAGGTGTCCTGCTGGCAGGATGTAAGGTACTCATATTAAACATTTTAGCGCGTCCTCAAATGCGTCAATTCGGTCCTGCCGGCAGGCCGCTGTACGTTCTATCTTTAAAGAGAACGTCACTAAGGCTACGTTCACACGGAGTTTTGCCATTTACCATAGCCATTAATAGCTTAGTTAATAACAATAGCACAGATGTGAAATGTTCCCTATAATGTTCATGACTTCGTAGTGGTAAAACTATTAAAAGATTACATTGTTACAGGAATGTGCCAGCTTAATGTTAATGAAACCACTTTATTGTGACATTACGAAACACCCATTCTACCTTCCTTTCCCATCCGATTTTCACCATCAAAATCGAGCTAACTTTCGGAAATGTAGCGGGAAAGAATGAAAATTATAATTGTGGTAATCGATACGAATTCCACTAACAAAGATTGATCCATCTTACCGAGTGTCCGAGTGTGAACGCTAACATAATAGGCTATTGGTATTTCGCAAACCCGTTGCCCATTAACAGCTTGCGGAACTTTTGAATGCGCCCTACTATAGGGTGTTAGAAGATTAATTTCCTGCAAGTCTTGCCTTTGCAATTACGTTTAGCGATAGTTTGAGTGAGATACCTATGTCCAATTGATAGTAAATTGAGAACTTATATTGGCAAATCTATTCACATAAAGTCATAAGAGACGTCTCTCATATTGAAATCTCGGAATGCAAGTAATAAGCGAAGTACCTATGATTGATTATTAAGCACGTACAGTCTATCTCAATGTGCTGTCATTCAGAGCGGTAGTCTCATTACTACAAGTAAAATATAAGAGTGTAATGCCCCTTAAATTTAAAGGTACAGGGAGCTTTTGTGTGGAAATCCCTTCTCTAAAATTTCACTAATGACATTGACTAAACGTAAAAGAATGAGACAAACTATCCTAATTAAAGAAGCTCGGAAAAGCTGATTCTTGAAAACGGTACCGCCGACATAATACCTGCGTACCTACTCGGAATGGTGGAATATAATGTTTGACTTAAAATAATAAATTAATATTGAAAATGTTTTCCTTTGACTGAAAATGTATGGCATGAGGCACAACTTAAAAGCGATAGCAACAGATATTATAATCAAGCATTTTTATGAGTCACCATTGTGTATCAGTGTATCGCTTCCTTTTCGAGTCCCAAAGGCCCATAAGCGCTATAAGGACATAAGGACCGGATTCTATGCATTTTGATCGTTTTTTACCGTCACATAGAAAAAAAAGTAACTTAGATCTGATGTTTACAGGGTGTAACACTTAACTATATCAAAAGAATTGGGTCGTAGAGGGGCAAAAACAAAATGGATCGTTTGTTGATTACCTACACCCCGAAGGGTCGCAAAAGTTGAGTTTTCCTCTTTTATTCTATTTTAAATAAACATTTGATCAAAGTATGTAATTTGCGGATTTATTTCAGCAGGTATGCCTTTTTTCATTTTCTAAAAATATTAGTATAGCACAGCCTCTAATTCTAGAATATGCGGAAGAAAATTAGTGCACGTGACCAGTTTGTTTATTACCATATGTAGCAGTTAACATAAATCGGTATTATCGTATCTTCAAATATAAGTACTTACTCGTATTATAAAGAAAATAAATTGAACAAATATAGCAAGCGAGCTCCTTGGAATGGCTATAGCATGTGCAAAACCAAATTTTAAATCTGATGTTAGTTTTGCTTTTATTTATTTAAAGTGTATATGTATGAAATTTCATTTAATTGCTTCCATAAATAAGAAAGTTTGCACTGCCCATCCTATACAAAATTTCAGTTAAATCCCTTCATAAATAACAAAGTTCGCACTGCGCATGCGCATTGCGCAAAAACCAAATTTTGAAACTGGCGCCAAATTTAGTTTTATTCCAAGTGGCTATGTATCAAATTTCATTTAAATACCTTCATAAATAAGAAAGTTTCCAATTCGGTCTGTAAATGGTCGAGATGCACAAAGGGCACTGTGAATGCTAATCGATTAGGCTTAATTTTTGGAATTGTGTTTTATATGGCTAAAGCTATGCGCATATTGAATTTCATGCAATTCGGTTCATAACTAACGGAGATGTCAAAAGGGGCTACTTTATTTGTTGGTCTACATTGCCAATTCACGAACTCCGATCTACAAATTTGATAAAGAATCCACCTGCAAAATTTCATCATAATCGGTCCTTTCGTTTATGAGTTATCGTGCTAACAGACGAACGGACGGTCAGACACCGCAAAATTATGAACTCGCTAAGAATTACCGTTATTGCCTAATCAAAATGGCACGTAGATTTTTACCGCGAAGTATCGAGAAGCTTGATGCGCATCGTCGCTGAGAGTGTTTAACTAAAAGAAATAGGTAAGCATATGTATATGACTTTCAAGCGACAACCTTGAATAAGTAAGCAACAATTGATAATTAAACTTTACCTTTAAATAATGCAAAACCATACTTAGTGCAGGGAATCGTATACCAAACAATTAGTATACAGCGAATGAAAATTGATTAAAGTTGAGAAATTAACTGTCAATCACGAAATTTGTTAGGTGCAATTATGAAAGGGAAGATGATGCACTAGTGTTTTTTTCGGTACAGGAAATGACTGCCATTGGCATATTAGAATAATCCATGATTTCTTATCTACGTAGTAGCAAAGATGGGTACTCTTTGGTAGTTAGTAGATACAGTATATGAAACTTCTCTGCCATCGGGTTGTGATTAACATGTTGAGAGTAATTTCAGTCAAACTTGCAGGTAAATCCAACGCCTTAAGAGGAAGAACGGCGCTATTACATTAGGAAAACTAATATTTTGAAGACAAAATTTACCTTCGATGAAGGCGTAGATAACGAAATACGAAAGCACAATAATTTATGACACAAGCATTGGTGTTTCACTAATTGCGGTTTTTAAAATTAAAACAATACTAGATAAAACAAGATCCGCTCGCTCGCTCGCAGCACGAATGACATTATTTGCGCAACCCAAAATGCAATTCGGAAATTATTGTATGTACCTTACACTCTTGATCGGTGTAAGAACAAAATAGTGAATAGTTTTTTTATAAGACTTTTCGTGGAAAAAGTACATATTCACATAAACACGGGATTTCAAAGAAACCCATAGAAAGAAATCACAAGGGAAAGGAGAATAACACTTTTGCGATCTGTTTGAAATCCTCGTGGAAACCTCTTCTTCTCATTTAATTCATTTGAAGTTTGCTTTGATTGATCTGGTTTGGGGGAGCCCTTTTGGATCTGTATTTTGGGTTGTTTGAAATAAAAAAACCAGTTACTCAGATTACTAAAGGCTGTCTCGTACTATACAGCATGGTTAACCATTTAACCAATCTTACTAGTTACAGTTGAGAGGCTGAATTTTTAATTCATTTTTTAATCATGGTTGCAATCATTAGACCAAGGTTTATGACAAAATAGCAAAAATTTTATTGAGGATAACACATATACGAGTAAATGAGTAACCAACTGCAGGTTAGTGTAGTTCGACATGGTTGCGAAGCAATTTTACTTTCTCTGTGCGTTGCTCTGCCTAGTGACGGCGAAGAAGGTGAGTCCAACCATCTCTAAGGCAATCCTTTAATTTTTCATGCAGATGCCCGCTCACTTTGTGGACACTTGGAACACAATGGTGGCGCCATTCCGCCGTGAATGTGCAGTTGACTTGGATATTGACATAGAGACGGCGAAGAACTTGTTTGCCACGGCCCATTTGATTAATGATAGGAACTACCACTGCTACGCGAGGTGCATTTACACTAAATTGAAGATGATATCGTTAGAGGGCGTTTTTAATCCCAAGGTCATCGTGGAAAAAATACCATTCTTTTCCAAGGCACTGATTGCAAAGTGCATAGCCGCTACGGAAGATGAATATGATACCTGTACGAAATCCTATATTATATCAAAATGTATTATAAAGCACGTAGCTGTAGATTGATAAATTTCCCATTCGTTATTTACACACAAATGAATAGAAAGTGTGGAATTGACTACTGTAGTGCTAACACAAGTTCTGTAAAGGTTCTTGCCACTGAAACTCGAGGTTATCTAAGGCTCAAAGCTCTACAGGTCAGTTTTTCAGTAGCATCATTCCCTTCTATGTGTTTCTTCTAAAATCTCGAAGCTGTGGAGCTTCAAGGGACTTCTTGAGGAGATGCCCGGTACTCGAATTTTGTGATTTCTAACATGGTGTTAAACGAGTGTCAATTGTACCAAAACTAATTGACGTACAGTTCATGTTTTGTAATCTCGTGTTGTAAAAGTTTTGGCTGGCTGAGATCTCTGGATCTATGCCAGGCCGGGAATTTTTTGCGCTATCCTCGTACATCAATAATTCGTTGACGGATTGTATCATTTGACAAAGAGAGTTGTTAACTTGCTTAGTAGTAGTTTCCTGCGAGCGTTTTCCAAAAATCTACCTCCTGTTTCTTAAACGACCTGAATTTTTCTTGGACCGTCCATTCCCAACGAAGCCGGGGTGGCGCCCAATCACAGAATTATATAGTGTTGTCTACCCTAGTCTAACTTGAATTCCCGGGTTGTCAGAAAGAAAAGGGGGTCGTGAATTGATTTGAGTGTAGCATATAAATTCAAGTGAAAATAATTAATAAAGTGTGTTGTACACGATTCACCGTGTCACAACATGGCAATAATCCCACCTCGTGATGCAATTCAACCAATTTTTGGCCTGAATCTGTGAATACATACGATGAAAAACATGGATGCGTTATTGATTTTAAAGCACTTGATATTCTTCTCATAGAACATTGATAGAAACGTACATTTTCTCCTTTAACATAAAACGGCATTTAGAAGTAATTTCTCCTTTATGTCCTGTGTTGACAGATATATAGAGGCAACGTGTTTGCGCAACTTAATTACAGTCTATACTAATATTCGTACATTTAACCAGAATGCTGCACATTATGCTTGTTATTGAAACAATGCAAAGTTTAAATAGGCACGTGTGGTAGGTAAATATATTATATAGGTATCACATCATATATGCAATTACTATCTATGACTGTATATTTTTATAACTTTTATCTGTGTCGTATAGGCAAACCTTTTGGGTGTGTAGTAAACGTGAGTTGTTTATACTGGATTATTAACGGTTTGTAATTAAATTTTAATTACACAGAAGTCATTCAATGGAAAAGGTTTAATTTATTATAGAAATTCAGAATGTGTTACATAGTAGGTATCAAGTTTCGCAAATTAATTACCGTTAGATAAACTAAAGGTGCCGTAACCTAATACTTTTCTGGTGTTTATTAAATCCTTCTAGAACATTGTTAGTGTAATTACAAACACTCACTCGTGAAATTTAAGTCGATCTCGATAATGAAATATAAGTTCAGGGCAAGTTAAACCAAACTACTGAAGATATCTATATACCTATATAGATGCAGCAGACTTCTGGTCGCAATTAATAGGTGATCCAAAATCGTTGGGGACAGTTTAAATTTGCCGCGTTTAGTAAATGCATCGGCAAACATCTTTGCAACTGCAACATTTTGTAAAGGTACTTACTTAGAAAATACTTGACAAGGGTCATGTAAGCTTAAAGGGGAGGGACAAACATCGTAAAGGCGTACTATCAAACGAAACACGTTTAGAAGATGCAATTCAACAAAAAAAATGCCACCTACCATGTTAGTGGAAGACGTAAGATATAAGAAAACGTAGCCGCAAGAAATTAATTCGGAAATTATCTAAACAAGCTAGTAGGTAAACCAATATGCTCAAAAACCAATTTTGGTACGAATGCAAATATATTATCTAACACAAATATGTTGGGCAATTGTTATTTTGTTTTTGAACAGCTGTTGTACAAGTACAAAAGGCGGATTGTTTTTTGTGATCATAATACAAACGCACTGCAATGGCATCATATAGGCAAAATGATAATCGGAAACGTAATTCAATGTAAAAAAAAACATGCTCAACAGCTTTTCAACACACATGACTACCTAGAATTTAAAATTTGTCCACTGTGACCATGCAACGATTGATAAATCTAATTATAAAACACATTTATTAACATCCATGATCACCAAGGATTTATATTGTGCCCAGTACTTTCGTCACCAAAGATAAATCCAGTCTTAAAACACATTTTAACATGTCAAGACATGGAGCCTGCAAAGATTTAAAATGTGACCGGTGTGATTTTGTCCAAATCCAATTTAAAGACACATTTGTTAATACACCCCTAAAAATACAACCTGCAGCATCATTTGCAAACGAACAAACCATTTTTTATCCAACTTCAAAGTGTGCGCACGCTTATTTTAACTGTTGCGAACAGCATTATTCTAAATTTGACGAAATCGAAATATTTGTTTTGAAATGTTCTTTTTTATAACCTTCCATGAAGCCAATTAGATGTTTATCGTTGTGTACCCGTTGCTACGTATGTACGTATTTTGATGTTTTTATTCCCTTTTTAAGCATAAAACCTGCTGAAAGATGAAATTTTACAAAGAAAACAATCCTAAGAAATCGTATCGCTATTTGAATGCTCGTTAATTTTTCCGACCAATTCCAGTGTGCTGTATTTTTTTTCAATAAAAACAGTAGAATTGAATCAAAATCCTGGCTCAATGTAATTTATTACAGCACCATGTTACAAATTTGTTTATTGAAAACCAATCCAAGTGAAGGACCTGATAAATTAATTAGGGTTGAAGAACCAAGCCTCAATCTTTATTTATTTATTTGTTGAAATAAACAGGCCTGGGCCTAGTTACATATTTCCCTTACACATAAATGAAACGAAAGTGTGAAAAGAATGTCAAAGAAGTGGCTAGAGACTAGAGTGTTTCACAGTTTTCTAGCGTATTTATAGTATTTGATAACTTTTTAGAGAATTAAACAGCCTTGAAAAGTTGTCTACAACCCGAGCTTTCCCTTCATTCAAAAGTCATAAAAAAGGAGTCTTCTTCAGGCTTTTAGTGTCTTTCCGACCACCTACTTAAAAAGGTCTCTAAATGTATGTAGGTACGCAAGTTTAAGGATAGGACTGGCTAAAAGTTTTCTTTTCAAGATTTTTCAATGACCACTACACTCTTTAAAGACCCTTAAGCGCTTTTTAAGGTTCTTAAGAGTTTTAATATCCGAACTTTGAAGAGCCCTTAGAACCCTTTGTTACACGCACAAAATTACCTTCAGTTAATCACGGTAAGCTCAGGAAAAGTAAAGATGGGTTGGGTTGACTAATAAGTTCTCGTTTACAGAAAGTCAAAATAGAACAAGAGAAAATATAGCAAACCGGATAGGCTCCACTTAGTCTTACAGTAAGTTTAAAGGGACCAAGGCAGACTAAGAGATCCTTGTTTTGACCCATATAAAGCTATAAGCTATATCGGAGCAATTCAACGGATAATAATAATCTTCAAAAAGGTAATCGGTAATACTTGCAGTTAACAGGAATAATCGAACGGATCTTTAGGTGTAATAATTTCTATGTAGGCCAATCCATTTTACGTAATAGACTTCCATCTCAAAATGGCGGGTCCAATTCTGCGTAGATATTGCCAAATTATATTGCTGTAGATAATCATATTTAGGCACAAAAACAAAAAAGAAACAGAAAGAACCAAAAGACTTAAAATAAATATTGAACGTTAAATCATTATTGCGTCATAGTAAAAAAACTATTACTCCAATTGAGGCTTAATCCTTTAACACTTAACAGGTAGACGAAAATTCGAGTAAAAAATGGCCTGTATTAAGCTTATAAGTCAAACGAACAACAATGAAGCTTCTCTGCATCAATATTAAAATCAAAGTAAATATCAAATTGAAAGCAAAAAAAAACGTTACATCTTTGTTAGCGTTTTTAAGAGTTGTCTTAAAAGCCTTTGAGTCTTCACAAAACTGAGAGTAGTGCTTTGGAGCCTTCTCAGTCTTTTGAGCCTTTAAAAACATTTAAAAGGTATAAAGAACCTTAAGAAACTTGAAGAGTTTTATGAATCACCAAATGTTCTTTTACGCCTCCAAGAGTTTGAAATTCTTTAATTTAAGTTCTCCGCTTGTCTTTAAGAGCCTTTAGTATGTTTTATGAGTTTAATATAAGTTGGGATTCGTCGGAACTGTTGTTTTGAAGTGTCTCAAGAGTTAGCATTTAAGGGTGTTCAAGAACCTTACCGATAGAGATCGGCTAGGCAGGTAGTGGTCGCAAACATCCATTAATGGATGTGCATTCTAAAAATAAAAGAAGCCTTTCAAAACCTTTAACGGTCTTTAAGGATTTTAGAAGGTTTTGGGGCCTTTAAATCCATTGGGATCCATCGACTCTAGTTTTTTTAAGAGTTTGGTGTATAGCTCACCCAAGCAAATCTTACACGAGATAAAATTCGGTCAGAGATTATCGTATGTCTCAAACTCGGTACGTTACCGACAGTTCGAAGATTGTTAACTGATAATATTTATCGTAAGCGTTTACATGCTATTTATGTCACAGATTTTACTTCCTGAACCTACGTCAATTACGTTAGTATGCAAGAAATGCTGATATGTCAACCTTGCCAACAATGTGCTTAGTATTATTCTACTCGCTTTGCGGTTTACTTGCTGGTAGTAAAATAGTTCCCTGTTATTTACCATTCAATTCCTATCTTAACTCTCTCCGTATGAAATTGAGAAGATACGAGGATAGTAATAACAGCAAAATCAATTCAGATACCAACAGAAATCTTGGTTTATTCTCAATATGAAATCTGAAAAGAAAATTGTTCCCACAATTGGACAGCGTATTCCCCAAATACAAAATATATCCCAAATATTCAAACTTATTAATTACTTAACTCAAAAATCTTGGCGCAATTAAAATTCCAACTACCGCTTACAAGTCGATCATGCGTCGGCAGGAATTACGGTAACTGACCAAGTTATATTAATCATTACAATACAACATTTTATTCCTTTAAGAGGTATTTAACGATACGCTTGTAACACACTGAAGTAAAGGAAGGTATCCCCTGGCT